CAACCTCGGTGTTGCGGAGGGGGCCGGCCTTGACGAATGGGCCGAGGAGGAGGAAACCGTGGGCGAGGCCGACCTCGATGCCACGGAGGAGGGGGGAGATGGCGGTGCGGTAGGCGGGGAGGTTGGAGAGCTACCACGCGATGAGGGGGGAGGAGGTGACGGGTGTTTCCAGGCTGCCGATGAAGGGGTCGCCGTTTATGGGTTGGACCACTAGGGGGGAGGAGGTGACGGGTGTTTCCAGGCTGCCGATGAAGGGGTCGCCGTTTATGGGTTGGACCACTGGGAACGTAGCCTGTTGTAAATAAAGGGTGGGAAAAAAAGATTTATTCAGGGTTAGATTAAGGAAATTGAGTAAATTACGCTAAACCCTTAACAACTTTTAGAAATCCTGCACCAAACCTCCAATAACTTTCAAATTCGCACTGAACCCCACAACAACTTTGGCAGGAAACCCCCACTATCTTCTGGGTACAATACACTAAACCCCGCCTTATCGTTTTCAAAATGCCTTTAATTAATGTTGCTCTTTTAATCTACGGGGGTTATCTGCAAAATGTGGAAAATTCTAGGGAATTTTCTACAATCTCAAAAGTTATTGAGAGTTTTGTACAACGTACTTATAGAAATTATTGAGGGGTTTACTTCAAAATGCTGAAAGTTCTTAGGTTTAGTACTCCTATAATAATTAACAGGAAATAGAAATGAGTTAACTGTTAAATAGCAAAATAATTTGTCAATAAAATAGAACTAATAATGTTTCGGTAGCTGTATATTCATTTTTGTTCTATTCAAAAACTATTTCGTCTTTTTTATTATTTCTTTTTGGTGGTGGAAGATTTAATCTATCTTCAAAGAATATAAATATATTTGAAATATAAATCAGCTTCTATTACCTAATAAAATATTGAATTATGTCCATTTCTTTTTATTCATTTGAGTTTTACCTTTTCATGGCCACGGCCTAGTTTAAGAATGTGTTTAATTAGAATAGAAGTGTGGAAAATACAGTTACAGTATCACTTAGTTCTAATTATTGCTACATGAATTTGAATCATTTCTATAAAACAGTAGTGGATGAATTTGAATCATTTCTATAAAATAATAGTGGATGGATCATTACTTTTAATCACAACGATTAATTATCTAGTGGACGATTATGATTCTTTTAAATCTAATATTCACCGTATCCTCATGAATTACACTTATTCTTATTCGCATTCAAAGAAAAATCATAGTCATCTATCAACTAATCAATTATTATGAGAAGTAGTAATTGCTCAACTACATTTTTTATTTCAGAGAGAATCAGAATCCTATTTCATTATGATAAAGTATAGTTATTGCTATAAAACACTTCAAAAATTAGCACAATTATTTTCCCTGTTATTCGAGTTACTTCACCTTTACAACAGCTTTATAGAGTTGCAACACATTCAATCAAACATGTATATTGAATTTGGATGCAATTGGAACCATATTGACCTAAACTAGTACTCATTTTGGAGAACCAAAAGACAAAAGAAATCAAAATTTGGGTAGAACTTTCTGACCTTCTCTGCTTGAATAGCTTTCACAGTGAAGCTGGGCCTGCTTTTGGCCTGCAAGCTCCTCACTGGGCTTCCCCCAACAAGGCCCTTGGGAACAAACAAGCCCCTTGAGCTAGATGAAATAAAGCTACTCTTGAGTTGGCTGGCCATTGGAGCACTGGGAACAAACAAGCCCCTTGAGCTAGATGAAATAAAGCTACTCTTGAGTTGGCTGGCCATTGGAGCACTTGCCATTATTTGCTCCCTTTGTCAACTTCTCCTATGAAGAAGTAGGAGATTAAGCCAAAAATTATTAGTAGAGGAAGATAAGAGGCATAGAATTTGAGAGGCTGTGGATTTGGAATCCATGCATGCAATCTCATTGGATGAGAAGTGGTCGCCACCTAATCCTTATCCGCTCAAGATATCTTTGCTTCTCATCCTCTCGTTCTTTAAATCCCCCGGGCTGTTTGTACGGCCCAATTAAGGAGTAGTGGATCAAAGCCCAATAGTTGCTTTCGGAACGGTTGGGCTATTACTTGCTGGCCGATTATCAGGTTTCATATGTTGTAACCTCTTTTGTTGCACGCCGTTCTACATGTAATAAGGTCATGAGTTAGCATCTTGGGTTTTTGTTTCGTAGAAACCACCTTGAATCAAGATAATTATACAAAAACTACCTTTGCATTTTAATTTATATATAGACCATTTTTAAAGTGAGCTTGTATTTCAATCAACGACCTTGTAGCCAAATTTTTACTAAAACTGTAATATAAGCTTAAAAATTTTACATGTAAGATACATAACTTGTACCCATAATTTAAATATTAAGAAACGAGTCGTGTGTCCAAAATATGAGTTTTTAAAGATTTTTTGAAATTTTAGGGAAAGTTGTGACTAGGAGTTGGTTAATAGTAGGACAAACCCACTTTAAAGCTAGTTTATGTATAAATTGAAATTTAAAGATGGTTTTCATATAATTACCTACTTTTACGATGGTTTCTAAGGAGGAAAAAAAAACTAAATTTTTTAAGTTCAAATAAGTTGAACCAGTTTTATCGTCAAGTTTATTCCACCTACATGTTTATGAACATGCCCGAGCCTTCTGTGTGGAGATGCCAAAAGAAACTATCAAGGAAGCTCTCAGGGTCTTAGCTTTACAAATTTCACAACGCAAGCCACCTTACATTTACTATTTTCTTACATAAACGTAATGAATCATCCAGTTCTTGTTCACTCCCGTTCTCATTCACTGCAAAAAGAGGGAAGGTAAGAGAACAAGTATAGTTTTTCCATAACATAAATAATCAAATTTAACAACGATCAAATTTTCAATTTTATGACAGCATTGTACTCGTTGCCTTGTCAGATGTTTGAGGAAACTGCAAGCCTGGTGTTATTCCTCTGTTCGAAGAAATACCTGCTGGTCATGAGCTGACTGCAACCTCGGTATCGTAAATGCCTCCGGTGGCCAGGATACTTATAGCGCAATCTCTACACTCTTCCCCCTGAACTCTTGAGAGCGTCCCACCTGTCACATCCTATGCTATGCAATTCAAGGATTTTGTAAAGAGTATAATACATGTACCATTTTATCGAATAGCATATTAGTGTCAGTACAGCTGAACAGCAGAAGAATCAGAGAACAACAAATTAGATGCATAATGAAATTGTTGATTATCCATTCATTCATTTGAAATTTTTTGCGGCAAAGTGGAAGATGGAAACAATTAATAGAGACATATTAGTTTGTTTCAAGGATAGCTTGGGCTTTCCTTCCCAAGGAATCTTGTTCGATGTCGCAGAGCATCTCTTAACGTACTCAGGTCCACATTCTGCAACAGATTGAAACAAACAAGCATCAACAGTTTATAATTCTTGATTTATATATATGACTAGTATATGATAAAATCAAAGGTTACTGATCACAGCAGGAAATTTATTAACTTGTGCATACTAAATTCATGTACCCTCTTAGTATATATAAATCAATACTTCACAAAGATAAAATATGGAAGGAATCCTTCACCAATCTGACATTTGTGAATAGAGAATAAGTTTATCCTAGTAACTTTAGAATTTTTGGAACTTGGTAGTATCCGGTAAAATTCTCCTGTAATAGGCTTACGGACAAAATTGTCGAAGCAGTAGAGGGGACAATTCCAGCCTGCATAAGTGAGAATTGATTAGTTGTTTTCATAAAACTATCTTGCAATGCTGCACAAGATTTTATCTTCCGCGATTGATCAGTGTAGATTTTATCTTTCGCGATTGATCAGTGTATGTGTATGTCAAATGCTAAAAAGTAGTGTACTTTCGAAAAGGAAAAGGAGGAGATGGCCAAAGATATTGTTACTTAAGATGATACGAGTCGTCGTGGGGGCACCTTTGATCGCGGAATTATCAAAGGTAGGTTGAGAAGAAAATAACAAGAACATAAGAACAATTCAGTGGTGGCGAAGGAAAATATCTTCTCTAGATTATGAGAATAAAATAGTTTACAATCTCTCACAATCTCACTAGAATTGAAGAATAATCTCTCTCAATTCTCAAATACAATCTAATCTCTCTTCACTAGAATTGAAGAATAATCTCTCTCAATTCTCAAATACAATCTAATCTCTCTTGATTGTTTTCTCCTTTTTTTTAAAACCCTAAAACAATCCCTTATATAGGTGTAATAATGTGGATAGCAAAATGGTAAATAAACAAGCCCAAACCCCACAGGAATTCGTACAAACAGAAACTCAAACGAACCAGGAAACCGTCGATGAGTCGACTCATAAACATGCATGAGTCGACTCATGCCAAGTGAGTCGACTCATGATGAGGTGAGTCGACTCGTCAGAAACTTTCGATAAAACGGTTGGGTTTTGTGAGTTTACTCATGACAGGCATGAGTCGACTCAACCTGATGAGTCGACTCATGTACATGTATGAGTCGACTCACGGGCTAAAAACCGAATGCTTCGATTCTTCGATTCGCCATCTCGTTCCACGCTTCAACTTACGTTCCACTGTGTTGTTTTACCCCTCTATTCTCAAGTTACCATGAGAACCATCTATCCTCAAGCTCCTATGAGGATCGCTAAGTTTTGAAGAGAAGATACACCCGTATCATGGCTCCCCCTTTAGGAACTTGAAGTCCCGTTCAAGTTAGAACTTCAGCTGAGGAAACTCGCGAGCTCCTCTTTCCCTGTTGAACCACTTAGTCTTGCTAGGAACCTGACCTTGACGTCTAATGAGAAACGACTCCTTCATCCCCCGTCTCGTCGTGGTCGTCTTTCGCTCCAAAATACAATCTTCATTCAGCGGCTCCTCTCTATCAAACCACAAGTCTTCAACATGCGGCAAGATCACCTTGTCGTCACCTTCATCATCCAGCAATGGAGGCTCGAACAACTTTAAATACTCGGCATTGATCACCGAATACATGCCTAGGTAATGTGGCAAATCCAGCCTGAAGACGTTGTCACCCATCTGATCGAGAATCCGAAACGAACCATAATATATAGGTTTCAGCTTCTTCCCTTCTCCCTTTAGCCTCTCCTTACTCAATTTCAATCATACCATGTCGTCTATGCCAAAGTTACAAGGAACTCAATGCTGATCATGCTTCACCTTGTACTTGGATTGTGATTTCTTCAATTGAGCTTCAACCGTGGCATGAATATGTGCAATCTTCTCCAGAAATCGCTGAGCATGTTGTCTCTCACTCCCTTCCTTGCCGTCGGCTGTAGCTTCACTGGAAAATACGATATCAAATGGACTCGAAGGTAAAAACCCATAACAAGTCTCAAACGGTGACTTTCCCGAAGATCCATGAATAGCCCGATTAAATACAAACTGAAGATATGGTAAGCTCTCATCCCAAATCTTGGGATGCTTGAAATTGTATCCTCTCAACATATATATTATAGTCCGATTAACTACCTCTGTTTGTCCGTCGGTTTGTGGATGAAAGATCGTGCTCTTCTTCTGCCTAGTATCCATCAAGCTCCACAAAGAATCCCAAAAGTGTCTGAGAAACCGTCTATCTCGATCTGAAATAATCGAATTCGACAACCCAAAGTGCTTCCACACATGCTCAAAGAACAATTGCGCCGCACTCACTCTCGTCACGGTCTTCTTACAAGGAATCAAGATGACCATCTTACTGAACCGGTCCACCACAACGAACAAATAATCATTCCCGCACTTAGTCGTCGGCAATCCTCCTAAGAAATCCAAAGAAATGCTCTCTCACGGTCTCGATAGTACCGGCAATGGTAGATACAATCCCATTTTCCTATTAGAAGGCTTCGATATGCAACGTAGCTTACACCCTCCAAATACTTAGTGACATCCTCTAACATCTTCGGCCAAAAGACATAGCGCCATAGATTGAGAAGCGTCTTCTGAATCCCAAAATAACCTTGCACATATGATGTATGGGCTTCTCGAATCCACTGCAATCGGTCGCCATCCTTCGAAATGCATAGCGACGTTCCTCGATACAACATACCATCTGCACCAATCTCATACTCCCCTTTTCGACCAGCCTTCGCCTGCTCGAACACACTGCTAAAATCTCGGCTGGATGTATACATCTGTATATACTCCAAAGGAACCAATGGCTGAATGTGCGTCGCCACAAAGAGAGCTCTCACGGGTGGGCGAGATAACATATCGGCTAACTTGTTCGTCGTCCCCTTCTTGTACTTAATAATGATGTTGAACGCCATCAAATAGGACATCTACTTCATGTGCCGTGCCTGCTGTAGCTTCGTCTGGGCATGTAAAAATTCCAATGGCTTTTGATCTGAGTGCACAACCACCTCCTTTGCCAACAAATACACCCGCCAATGCTTGATTGCTTGATAAAGTGCATAAAACTCCTTGTCGTAGGTGGGATAGTTCTGAATAGCAACCGTAAACATTTCTGAATGGTACTCCACCGGCTTCTCATTCTGAATCAACACAGCACCCATAGCATAACTAGAAGCGTCGGTCTCTACCTCGAAGGTCCTCTGTAAATTCGACAATGATAATATCGGTGCCTCCGAGATCTTCTTCTTTAATAACTGAAAAGCTCCTCATGCGTTCTCCCCCACTCAAACTGAACCTTCGCCTTCGAAAGGCTATGCAAAGGTGCCACATAAGTCGAGAAATATCGAATGAACTTGCGCAAATACTGGCAAGCCCCCATGAAGCTTCTCACCTCCGTCACTGTTCTAGGTGTTGGCCATTTCGTGATCACTGCCACCTTGCCTGGATTTATCCTCCGCTAGCATTTCCCCACGATTAACCCGAGATACACCAACTCGTCCTTCCCGAATTTGCACTTCTTCCCGTTAAGCTTCAGTTGTCCGTTCTGCAACACTTCAAACACCTTCTCGACATGAACAAGATGCTCCTCTCAGGTCCTGCTGTACACCAAGATATCATCGCACTTCAAACACCTTCTCGACATGAACAAGATGCTCCTCTCAGGTCCTGCTGTACACCAAGATATCATCGAGGTAAACTATCACAAAATCCTCTATAAAGATGCTCCTCTCAGGTCCTGCTGTACACCAAGATATCATCGAGGTAAACTATCACAAAATCCTCTATAAAGGGTCGCACCAAATCGTTCATAAGTCCAATAAGGTAGCCGGAGCGTTGCACAATTCAAACGGCATCACCAACCACTCAAACATGCCTTGCTTGGTCTTGAACGCAGTCTTCCAAGTGTCATCCTCCTGAATCCTCACCTGATGGTAACCAGACTTCAAATCCAGCTTTGTGAAAAATCTCGCTCCTTCCAACTGGTCCATAAGATCATCAATCCGAGGTAATGGGTATCGATTCTTGATAGTTATCTTGTTGAGCGCCCGGTAATCCGCGTACATGCGCTAGCCTCCATCCTTTTTAAGCACCAACAACACTGGTGACCCGCAAGGGGAACAACTCGGCACAATCACTCATGTCTCCAAAAACCCCTGAACCTGCCTCTTGATCTCCTCAGACTCCTCTACAGATGTGCGGTATAGACCTATATTCGGCAAAGAACCCTCGCTTGTCAACATAATCTCATGCTCCACACCCTGCCGTGGTAGTAGTCCCGTGATCTCCGAAAACAAGTCCACGTATTTGGCCTTCAACCTGTCAAGATCTCCCTCCTAAAACTTGCTCAAGGTAATCAAGCACACCCCACTCAGCTGCTCCTTATAAGGCCTAATGACTAACAATACAAACCTCTTGCTCGCATTCACTAGTCTCTTCGCCTGAGTCACTGTCACCAAACTCGTCTCCTGTGAAAGAGATGCCGAACGAAAGATGAATTGCTCGTCATCTTTGGTGAACGTATACTTCTGGGCTCGCCTATCGTAGACCGCAAACCTATCTCATAAATAAGGACTGCCCAGTATTACTCGGCAAACATCCAACGGAACGACGTCGCATGTGACCTCGTCAATATACGACTCGTGGAGTACAAATCTAAAAGTACATTGCTTGACCACACTTGATCCCGCCTCCTTCTGAATCCAACCTAAAGGATAGGGTTTCGGATGTTTAATCGTCTTCAATCTCAACTTCTGAACCAAAGCCTCAGATATCAAATTTTTCTGGCTCCCTGAATCCACTATGGCATCAACCAAGCTGGTCTTGACCTGTAATTTCAAAACAAAGAGCTGCTCCCTCGGATCTTCATCCTCAGTCGTGGTCTGCTTCCCTGCCATAAGGTTGAGATTGTTATTGGGTTCTGTCATCCCGGGAACTTCCTTCAGACCCTGAGCTACTACATATGTCTTTTTCTCCTCCTCCTTCTTCAATCCTTTTGGCTTCAAATGAGGATACTTCTCCAAGCAACGATCAGCTACGTGCGATGTCTGTTTGCAATGATTGCATGTTAATCATGCCTTCCCCGAATCACCATTCTTCTTCTCTTCCTTAGGCTGAGAGCAACTAGACTTACCTCCCGTCTGTTTGGAGTCTCCCTTCATTTTGTTGCCCTTCTTTTGCCTGCCCTCAATGGCAATGGCCTTCACACTCGCTTCTGCCATGGACTCGACTGTGAACAACTTCATCTTCTTTCGGATATATTCATTCAAACCCGCCATATACTTCATAAAGATGGAATATTTCTCCATCGTGATGTTCAGAACCATCGCCTGCTGCTGGAACTCCGTCGTATATTCTTGAACGGTCTGGTTGAACCTTTCGCGCAATCCGTACCACTTATACCAACGCTCCTTAAGAAACCCTACTGGGTAGAACTGCTTCCTCAGTAGCTCTTTGAATTTGTTCCACGACATCCCCTTCCGTTCCTGCTTACAATAGAATTTTCACCATGTCAATGCATGCCCCGAAAGCTTCAAAGTCACGAACACAAGCTTCTCCTTGGATGAATATCCATAGAGGATAAAATACGTCTCCATCCGCTCGATCCAATCATCAAACCTCTCGACGTTGACACTCCCATCATAAACAGAAATCTCTACCTTGAAGCCTATCTTCAAATTCTGGTAAGAACACTTACCCCCTTGATGCGGAACAGTTTTGACAATCTCGACCTCCCTATCAGAATCAGATTCCTCGTCTTCTCCATCGGACTCCATAAGTTTCTTCTTGTCTTTGAAGAAGATTCCTCTTTTTCGTCCTTTTCTTGGAAGATATTGACGAGCTGTGTGAGAGTCGAACTCATTGTCTTCATCTGTTTCTCCAATGCATCTAGCCTCGCTGAACTATCTCCTTCAGTCATCTTCTTTTTCCTTAATTTCTGGACTTCTTCCAATGAAATAAGGATCTCACCTAGCTTCTTGTATTGCGATCGAGTCAGGACCATACACAGGATGCCCCCTTCACAGGATCTGATCGCTTTCTTGTATTGCGATCGAGTCAGGACCATACACAGGATGCCCCCTTCACAGGATCTGATCGCTCTGATACCAACTTGATACGTCAGGACCATACACAGGATGCCCCCTTCACAGGATCTGATCGCTCTGATACCAACTTGATACGAGTCGTCGTGCGAGCACCTTTGATCGCGGAATTATAAAAGGTGAATTGAGAAGAAAATAACAAGAACACAAGAACAATTCAGTGGTGGCGAAGAAAAATATCTTCTCTAGATTATGAGAATAAAATAGTTTACAATCTCTCACAATTTCACTAGAATTGAAGAATAATATCTCTCAATTCTTAAGTACAATCTAATCTCTCTTGATTGCTTTCTCCTTTTTTTAAAACCCTAAAACAATCCCTTATATAGGTGTAACAACGTGGATGGTAAAATAGTAAATAACCAAACCTAAACCCCATAGGAATTCGTGCAAACAAAAACCAAAACGAACCAGAAAACCGTCGATGAGTCGACTCATAAACATGCATGAGTCGACTCATGCCAAGTGAGTCGACTCATAATGAGGTGAGTCGACTCGTCAGAAACTTTCGACAAAATGGTTGGGTTTCGTGAGTCGACTCATGACAGGCATGAGTCGAATCAACCTGATGAGTCGACTCATGTACATGTATGAGTCGACTCACAGGCTAAAAACTGGATGTTTCGATTCTTCGATTCGTCGTCTCGTTCCACTTTTCAACCTGCGTTTCACTGTGTTGTTTTACCCTTCTATCCTCAAGTTACCATGAGAATCATCTATCCTCAAGCTCCAATGAGGATCGCTAAGTTCCGAAGAGAAGATACACTCGTATCATAAGAAGTCATGGTTGCATACAATTATCTCCATTCCTAGCACTAAGCTAACACAAGGAGATCTTAGAAATGAGAGTAATAGTAAGAACATAATACTGGTAACAATGAACCTACAATTCAATCAATAAATTATTCCTTGTGATGGTACCAAGGAATTGCATTATTGCAAGATTAATCTCTATTTCTTTCTTTCAGTACACATATAGGAACTGTGGTGTGCAGTGTTTCAAGCTTTTTTTTATTGGTGTTCACTCTTCTTCTTTTTTCATTTTCTTTTTTGTTGTATACGCTTTCTTCTACAACCTTCAGGTTTTAGCTCCATAGACCTCTGCCAAAAAACAACTACATTAAAATTTTCAATATTAAAACTCTAGACCTCAAGCACATGTGTGCAGGTGGGCGTGCATATGTGCGTGTGCGTGTGGGTGTGCGAGAGCACAAGGGCATGCAGAGGTTGTGTGTACGGACGCGTGTCTGCATGTGCGTGTGCATGCATGGGATGGGTGGGTGGGTGCGTGCATGTGTGTGTGTTTTGCATGCGTGTGTGTGGGTGTGTAGGTGTGTGGGCATGTGTGTGGTGTGTCGTATGGATCCTGAATTATGGAGAACTACTGATGGATACCTTCACAGAGTCAACCATATATCCTCCATTGCCATGATGAGCTTCAAGATATGCTCCGCACATAATCTCTCTAGGATAGACATGACATAAGATTAAGTTCACTAGATGTGGACCTTATTGCGGACAACCTTTTTTTGAGGAAACTTAGAAAATACCAAAAGTTTTTATAACTTGTGAAGAGCAACACATGACTTCATAAGGTCATTACATGTCTTTTAATTAAAAATTATTTGAGTTATGAAATTCAAAATTCATTGAAAGTCTATTATACTGACCCAAATCTCACGCATTTCATCCCGAAAAAAGGAGAAGAAACTCTAAAAACAGAAAGAGAGGAATGAAGTAAAGTTCTGTACAAGGTTAGTGATTAAAAAAGGAGAAGAAACTCTAAAAACAGAAAGAGAGGAATGAAGTAAAGTTCTGTACAAGGTTAGTGATTTAATATTCTTGTTTATAATTATATTAAGAAAGAGAGGAATGAAGTAAAGTTCTGTACAAGGTTAGTGATTTAATATTCTTGTTTATAATTATATTAAGTTTGATGTAAGTTCTTGAAAAGACTTAGCTTGGGGAGGTCACCACCCGCAAAACCCACGACAACAGGATGGTCACAGATCACCGGAAGTTACCAGAGATGACACCGGTGGCCGGAAAAAGGTAACTTTTTCATGAATCTACACCAAATTTAACATAATTAAAAGTTAGATTAATCACCACACTAACCTTGTAAAAGCTCTACTTCCTCTTCCTTTCTTTGTTCCATAATTTCTTTTTCTGGAATGAAACTTGTGAGATTTGGGTTAGTTTTATATGATTTCAACTTTTGAATTTTATAACTCATATTCCAATTTATTTTTAATTAGAAGATACATAATAACCTTAGTGAATTCAAGGGTTACTCTACATAAGTTGCAAAACTATTTTTTCTATTTTCTTCATTTAACTAAAAGAGGGTTATCTACATACCTAGTATTGTACAATCACCCACCATGGCATCACTTTAAAATTCTACGGCTCTCTAGTTCCTCTAAAGCGTAGTATGTGTGCTTGGTTTTTCTTGATCAAATTCTTACAAAAGTGAACATGGTTAAACATGGTGTATAGGTACTGGATGTGTACTTTGTTCCCATCAAGAGTAATCTCAACATCTATTTTTGGTGTGTTGCTTTATTAGAAAAGTATGGGGCAATATTTGGTCAATTTGAATCGGCTTAACATGATTTTGGATTTTGGCATTGACAGCAGAATATCTGACACCAGTCATGACCAAAGAAATGCAAATATGCAATCATGGCTGCATTTGGGTTAATTTGGAAAGAGAGGATCCAACATATCTTTAATGGACGAGTCAGTTTTCAAGCTGAAAACATCCTTCTTGCAGCCATACTTCCTAAGTTGGCATACATATTTTGGTCGAAGAGTGTAACTTTGTGTTTTTCTTGTATACCTCTTGGCATCAAGACATTTACATTACATATTTTGGTCGAAGAGTGTAACTTTGTGTTTTTCTTGTATACCTCTTGGCATCAAGACATTTACATGTAATTTTTCTCAACATTCTACTCAACTAAAGCCCTCTTTCCCCTCAAATTATGAGCAATCTTAAGCTGATGAAATGAGAATATGTAATAAACTATTCTTACTATTATCCTAGTGCTGATTTATCCTTTTTTTTCTTCTCTCTTCATCTTGATCAATACTGGACTTGGCTTGAATCTACACTCATAGAACAGATCCAAAAAAGGAAGCCGCAGCTATGAACAGCAACACTGGTTAACTAAGATGGTCAGGAACAAGAACAGTTATTATTTTCACTAGAGAGATAAACCTAGCCGCCACAGACACACATTCAGCTTAGATTGCACTATATCATTTTGCAACACACACAGCTTGGTGTCATTTTAATCGAAATGGCATTTTGGGTGTTAAGGCAAGCACAAGCTTTGCATGGCTTGTTAAAACATTTAAAGATTTTGGAAAGCAAAAGCTTCAACAGGCGATTCGTTTCAACATTTTTTTTTGTGGATCTGAAGTCAAATCATACATGCTTGTAGCATCAAGATAGCCTTTGGTTTAGGATGATCTACTATCAAATTGAATTGGTTTAAAAATTAGAAGGCATGCACTAGAAATTAAACAGAAGCAATTTTCAGCTTACTAATTAGTCAATGCGTGGAGATATCAATGACAGACTCCTCCAATAGGTTGTGATTTCCATATGTATATATAGTCTCAAACACTGGCAAAAGCATCAACAGACAGAAAATTTTGCATAGCCACAAACATGTCATGTTTAAAAAAGAAAATGGTAAAGCTACTTACTATTAGGACTGGCAAAGCTGAAAATCTCTCCAAACAATACACAAAAGTAATTAATCTCTTTTGCAGTGGTCAGAAGTGAAGGCTTGTTCGAGCACTTGCACTGATACCTAAGGAGCAATCGAGGGATAAAGCACAATGATGGACAAAGCTAAGAGCCACACCATGCTAAAGACAGATCAATCAATCAGGTACCTTGAATATATAAAGAAGAGACATATAGCACTCGAGATTGATCCAAGAAAATATATATTTCAACAATATTGATTAAAATTATGAACATGGTTAGTTGTTCTTTTGAAATATGTTACCAAAGATAAGAATAAGAGGCATCACAGCTCCATTGAATGATTAGTTGGTTTTGATCGATCCATCTGAATCATCTTTCTGTTGGCGTTTTTACTGATTAAAGGTATATTGCAAGCATTGTTTTGGAACTAACAGGAAGTACATAAACAAGATACCAACTTTCAGGTGCTGTTTAGAACTAGTAGAGCCATGTACTATAGACACAAATAATGAAGCATGGCAGGTTCAACACGTTCAATACATGTGTCAGAAATGCAAATTGGATGCAATACTTCTTATATGTGTGTACTTATATTTTTATGTGTACTTACGTGCCATGTAATGAGAAAATATTGATGACCCCCGGTTCATGGCATTTAATGTCAACCAAAGAGTTGTCAATCATTGGCTCATTGGACCTCAATATTTGTGCACGAACCCAATGGTTAACAGCTAATTGGTGCACATTAAATGCCATGGACAGTCCCCACTGAATACTTTCTCCTGTGTAATATCATATGCATGCTAGCATGTCCGTGCATGTGTAAGTTGTAACATAGCTGGTAAGAGTATGCACACAAATATAAGATGTTTAATAGTTAACAAAAGAGATTCATACGCACGATGACAGAGCAAATAAGTCTTTCAGAAGACAGCAAAATCAACGCATTAAAAAATCACCAGCTAAGTTCATAAATTGAGACGTCCCAAAGAGGAAAGTTAAGACAGTATGGCTGGCTACAAATTGATCTATCCATTAAGAAACACGGCTCATCTTTGCATAGAAATTTAAGCCTTTTCTGGGAAGAGAAGATACATGATACACTCACACAGACGTATCATGTATGCAAATACACATGTGCTTGTATGTGTTTGCATGAGCTGTATGTGAGAATGTGTGGACAACCATGTAACATGCTAATAGATTGAGCCGGTTTTTTAAGCAGGTAGGCAGCATAATGTATGAGGTATAAAAGATGATAATTAGTTGGGAAGGAAGTAATCTTATTTACAAACAAAAACTAGTAAATATGATATTTCAGTCACAGGAAGGTACAGCCATAGCTTCCTCTCAATGCAAGTAAGAAATAACTTACTGAGATTGAATGTTGGAACAGACTGCAACAGATAAAAAATTCCAGTTACATTCAAAATTTGATCATTGGCACAATTCTGGTCTTCTCCTTTTGGTAGCTGAAAAACATAACATATTACTCAATATATTGTGAAGAATCATTAATGAGGGTCAGCCACTTGCCACCCCGGAAGAGATCTGGTTCCACCCATGCTAATTGATACACATATGTGCACATATGCTTCAACATAAACACATGCACATGCCTGAATTCACACACATTGACATGCATGCATGTGTGTTACAGTGTATACTTGTTCATGAAGAATAAACTTTTAGTTGGATTAAAGCAATCACTTTCATAAGATAGTGTTGTAGAACTTCAAACAATTTCATGTGCTCACAAGAAAGAAGAAAATTTCTTGTATAGGCTTCTTGGCTTCTCATCAAATATCCAAGCTTATAAACACATGAGCTCATGTGTAAGTATTATACCACTTAGAAGCTTCTATTTGATAATGTTAGAAGAAACATTATTCATAATTAGCTTAACATATCACTTAAAGAAGGTCATAAAAGGCATAGGCTTCTTGATTTCTAAGCTTCATTCCCAACTTTCTTTTTAACCCTAACTTACAAATTCCCGCAGTTTAGAAATTTGTGGGGGAAAAAAGGATAATAAGTCAATACCTTGAAGAAATCTTGTAGTCACTTAGCATCTTCTTTCCTTCCCTAATTTTATAGTCATTTTCCCTTCTTCCTTTCTTCCCTGTTTTTTCTCCTCCACACTTCAGTCATATTATAGATGGGAAAAGTGAAGGGGGGAAACTAAATATAGTTGTAGAGAGAGATATGAGAGGTAATTTATTCTCCATTCACACAGCTTCATTTTTACAAAGGGAAAACTCTCCACCCTCCACACAGCTTAAACTCAACCACATACTTATTTAATGATTGCATGATATTTGGCCTAACTAATTAAGCGAAAGATTATAATGAAATATAATGTCATCATGAATGTGTAAATACTCTTTAAATAATCGCATAAAACTAGAAGTTATTAATCGAATCAGTCTCTCAACATTTTTAACTAAATATTGGATTTTAGTTTAGACTAAGACAAATTCTTTTTTCAGAGTCTACAAGTGTTTAGAGTGCACAACTTGTCAAGGCGGAGAAAGGTTAGGGAGTGTTATCATAGGCTGGTGTTAGGCCAATATCACTACTCTTCCTTCTATGCCTTCATTTTGTTACTCTTAGTAGCTATGTTACCCCGACACGTCATTCTAGGTCCCGTACCCGTGTCGGGTACGTTTTGGGTGCAGATCCGCACCCAAACGGCAGCGACACGCCAAATTCACTCGCGACGGGAAAAAAAACCAACCTGAAATTTTTGTGCGGGGAAAAAAACCAACCTGAAGCGATTGAGCCTTTAGGCCCTTTACCACCTTCGAGCTCGACGACGAAAACCCAACTCCTCGACGACGAAATCAGAGCTCGACGACGAAAAACCCAACTCCTCGACGACGAAATCAGAGCTCGAAATCAGAGATCGACGACGAAAACCCAACTCCTCGACGACGAAATCAGAGATCGACGTCGAAAACCAACTCCTCGACGACGAAATCAGAGCTCGACGAAACAATTTCCAGCCTTCGAGGGACGACGAGCTTGGAGGGACGAGTCGATGACGAGATTCGAGGGAGAACGGTGAAAACCCTAGCCCCAGAATCCACATGGAGTCGGATCTGAAGGAGGAGAGAGGAGCCGATCTCGATCTGAAGGAGGAGAGAACAGAGAGGAGCCGACAAATATGATCCAGGGTTTCTTTTTCCGTTTTGTTAGAGGACTAGGGTTTGAGTTATAAAGCTGGGCTTGTGTTTGGGCTTGGGCTTGGATTTGGGTTCGGGTTTGAGTTAAAATCAGTTTGGACTTTTATTTTTTAAATAGTTGAGCAGGTCATTTAAGCGGCCCGCTTAGCTTTGAGTTTGGGTTTAGATGTACCCGTACCCGTACCTATGCAACCTTGCTTAGTAGCTATGTTTCTTGCATTCTATTGACTGAGTTAAATAGAACTTTGAATTTGATTTGTTAGGGTTGCTTGATATGCATTGATAACTCTGATTGATATATACAGTGACCATAACCTCTCAGTTGAAGTTTGGATGAACTCATTATATAGATCATTCTTAGAATAGTACGTTTCAAGAAAATGTAAATTCAAACATTGTTAATGTTTGGAGAGAAAAGAGATTATTGGAGAGTTATCCCCTCACTCTATACTTTATTTATAGAGATGGATTAGTTACAGCTTAGTCTCACAAGCAATGTGGGACTAAACTAATACTCTCTTCTTCTAACACTCCCCCTCAAGCTGGAGCATATATATCATGCATGCCCAGTGGTTTTGTAATAATGTCTGCCAACTGATCTATTGTCGATACATGTTTTGTCGTGATGATTTTATCCTCAAGCTTATTGCGGACTACATGACAGTCGACTTCAATTTGTTTGGTTCTTTCATGAAACACGGGATTCTCAGCAATGTGAATTGCTGCTTTATTATCGCCATATAGATCCATGGGACATTTTGGAGGAAGACCAATTTCTGTCAATAGGTCTCTGATCCAAACCATCTCTAGTATCACATTTGTCATTGTTCTGTATTCTGATTCTGCACTGGATCGAGATACAACACTTTGCTTCTTACTTTTCCATGACACTAGATTTCCTCCGAGAAAGACATAATATCCAGTAGTTGATCTCCTATCAAAAGGACATTTAGCCCAATCTGCATCAGAGAAGCCTGCAACTCTGGTGTGAACAACACTGGGTGAACAGTCACCCATGAATAGTATTAGATGAACAGTGGTTTTTTAAAATAAAGAAATCTAAGATATAAAAAAATAGATAAATTAGGATAGACCGGATTCATTCGCAGCATCTAACCTATAACACAATGGCTTCACACCTAGCAACCCATGCTTCAAAGATATATCCATTACCCTCATATTGTATATATTCTAATATCATGATGTCATGTTCCATGTCCGTAGCCATGTTGTACCCAATCAATTACATGTCCATGCTACTTAGTTGATACTCAATCCAAATAATAAGAACTCTACTTTTCACACTGTCATCATTAGGATCAGTATATTGACAATATAACATTCTCTGGAACAATATTTTAGCTGATACTGTTGAATAATCTTCATGACTCCTACATGCTAAAGAAAGGGGATGATTGTAATCAGAAAATACCAAGCATTTAAGAAGTAGACGCTTGACTATATAAAGTTTTGGTCACATTAATAAAAATACCACATAATCTAATGTAAGTAATGTCCTAATCAAATAATATCAGCAACTTCATAATGACAGGATTGTGAACATGGTGCACATCCTATGAAACAAGATAAGACTTTTGATGGAATTAATCGAAGAAGTTTAGGATTGATCATAATATGAGGAGGGGGCACAAACGACTGAACTTCATAGAAATGAAGAGTGAAGGGTTTATACACAATTTACGCTTTCCACCTTTTATGATTCAGTGCACCAAACCAGTCCTAGTGGAACACTATAAATTTCTTAACATGGTTTATAACCTCTGAGTGCATATAATTAAAATAAGGTTTAATGATAACAACAATCAAGTTAGTTATGTTTTAGCATGAGCAGAACATTTTCATTTAGTTGGTAAACCTATGTGCTTGTTTAAGTCTAAACTAAACCTATGCATGAATGCAAGATAGCCCGTTAAAGCAAGGTTTTAGTCCTGCTTAAAATTTTATCTTTAAATATCTACAAACATAAAATTTAACATTGGCGTGAACTGACAAATGGACTTACTAAGTGAAATTAAAAGTTTATAATGACTGAAATTTTACTTCAATATTCAATAGACATAGATTTCAATGTGTGGCAAAAATGTATAGCAATGGATTCCAATTACTCATTGCACTGACATGGAAATTCATCATTGCAAGCTATAGTTCAGTTGAAGTTCAAGTCAGAATTGACAAGATAAGCATAAAATCTTGGGCAAAAAATCAACAATATCATAATTATCTGCAGGATCAACATAAAATTGCAAACGAGATCGATGAAGAAATAATAAGATATAATTAGCATCTAGAATTGTATAAATTACGGAAATCAAATGGGGGAAAAAGAAAAGCAATAAATAAAAATAGAAACCTGGGTGATGGCGAAAGAGCGCTTCCCTTATTTGGTCTTCTCCTCATTAGTTAAGGTACTTAGCAGCAAGCCTCAGAGATTTAGGGTTAGGGTTTGGTATCCAAATTGGGGAATCCATGAGGCGTCAAAGATAGAGATAGGTAGCAGAAGAGATCGGCCATTGATTGTTCTGTGGGGTTAATCTATCGATCCTCGGACGAAAAAGGTAACAAAATTTCGAAATTAGAAAGAGAGATCTCTTAATTTTTGAACAATTTTTGAAATATTGAGAATAAAAATGGGAAGAATGCGGAGTTCGTTACTTAACGGCATGTTTGGATTTGTAGGGGGTGAAGGGAAGTTAAGGGAAACTGAGTGAAGGGAAGGGAAGGGAAGGGAAGGGAAGGGAATTCCCTTCCCCTTGGTTACACCCCAATTTGGGGGTAACAATTTTTATACTATTAGGGGGTGAACCAAGGGGAACTAGGGTGAATTAACTTCATCTCCTAAGTGTTCCCAAACACGGTGAATGGAGGTGAATGGTTCCCCTAACTTCCCTTCACCCTCATTCCCCTCAATCCATAAAGGCCCAAGGAACCGGCCTGTAAAACTAGCTTTTTTTTTTAGTTGCAAGGTTTTTCGATATTAGTCCCTAAAACCTTTAATACTTTGGATTTAGTTCCTAGATCATTGAAACTTCTGTTATGTCCCCTCAATTCTTAAGGTATAAAATAAATCCTTTGAATCAATAAAATTGCTATTAGGTCTCAATTCTCAAAAGTTACTGCAAATAATACATTCAATTGCGACTTCTACTCTTGACATAGAGGGACTAATTTAAAATAACTTATGAGAATTTGAGGATCTAGTAATAATTTTAGTAATATTAGGGACTAATTTTTAAATAACTAAAGAATTGGATTCATAATGGCAATTTTAACAATTAGAGGGACTAAGTTAAAATATTAATAACTTAAGGAACTAATTTAAAAACTAGCTTATTTTATTATATTTTATTCTTCTCTTCTCAAATCCGGACATTTGAACACAGGTTAATTGTCAAGTCACCCGCCACAAACCACGACGATACAATGAGCTAGAATTCTAATTATAAGTTCGTCCGATCACTACTGTTCATCTTGTTCCAATACCATCAAACCTCTATGTGGATAAGTTTGGAAAATTGAGTTTTTTGTAATTGGATGATAGTAATGCGTTGACTTTAAAGAAAATTTAAGAATAATTATTTTTTGGGAATAGTGGGTGGTAAGGCATTTTCTTCAACCCGGAAGATTAAATGGGAGTAGGTCGAGTTAGGTTTGGGTTTAGGCATAGGGTTCTAGTTACGGACATATACCCCCCGCATACAGCGAGTAAGAGTGACACTCGTGATACGCTAGTGTCACTAGAAGTCCTCAGCCCAACCCATCGTCTCTATTCCTAGTTCAATACTTAGTATCGTCCACATCGTGCACTATATTTCCCCTTTTATATATTGATAATTTGATATATTTTCTAATGGTGTATATCATGATTGCCTCGAGATCAAAAAGTACCTTGTATTATTTACTTGATCTCAGGCACAATCTCAGTTTCTAAAACACCAAATAGTATTGAGATGAGATAAAAGGAACAAAAAAAATAGTCACAAGAACTATCAAAACAAAGGAATTTATCCGAACACGTTTATCTCCTTGGGAGCTCTTGAATAGTTTGCTAATAAGAAAGATACGTTATAATATGAGATTATATATTGATTATCGAGAATTGAATAAGATGACAATGAGGAATATTGTTGTATTTCATACTTGCTAGGATAACTTGTTAATTAGTTTTTAATTGGCATTTAATCGGATTAGATTAGCATAAGACCCTAATCACCCCCCTCTAGGGTCTAACAACTCCAATCCGACCCGTCGATTTGCATGTCACTCCGATCCGACCCGCCGATTTGCAGGTCACTCCGATCCGACCCGCCAATTTGCAGGTCACTCCGATCCGACCCGCCGATTTGCAGGTCACTCTGATCCGACCCGCCAATTTGCAGGTCACTCCAATCCGACCCGCCGATTCGCAGGTCACCCAGATCCGACCCGCCAATTCGCAGGTCACTTGGATCCGACCCTCCACTTTGCGGGTCACCCAAATCCGACCCTCCGACCCGCGGGACACTCAAGTCTGACCCGCGTCAGGGTAAAGACAGAAGACGTTATGCACATGTTTCGTCGATCCCTTCGAGTTCCGCACCTCCGACGGAGCACCGTGACAATGTGGACTTGTCCCATTTCAAGGTGAGGATGGCGGATCGCCCGGGTCCTTTGTATAAGGATCAAGACAAGGTTGCGATCAAAGAACGCTTGGGCCTAGTGACTGAACCCCGAGCAATTATTCGAGCTGGGGGTTGCACACGGAAAACTTCTGTAATTGACCGCCTCGGACGACGAATTAAACTCCAAGAGCCCGTCGAGAGTTCACGCTTACAAATGCGTGACTCTAAACGCGTGACTCTTGAGAACGCTAACAATCGTGTCAACACACGATAGGTTACTCCGGTCATCTGACCGATGAGTTGTACTATCGGGCTGGGGGTATGAACAAGTCTCGGAAGAGATATACCCGAGAAACAAAGTCTCACTGCCCGTGCGCCAAGTTAATCAGGGCAGTATTATCAGCGTGTAGCTGCCCCAAGACCGCTCCGCAGAGGGTCTCGGTATTCGAGAGGATCTTTAACGGAGCGACTAAGCCCAAGCCAAAACGTTTCTACGAGAAAC